TCCAAGCACTGCCCAGGGCTGGCAGCGCAGCCGCCTGCCTGACCTCTTGCACAGCTGTCTAATTCAAAGCAGCCCCTTGGCAACACATCCCAACACGCGCTTATCACCTCCCTCTCCCTGGGAGACTGCGAACCCTCTTCTCCCGCGACCAAGGAGCTGGAGGGCAGAGGAGGGAAACAAGCAAGAGGATGCAATTGGTCACGCTCTTCATTCCCATCAAAGCAGGGAGTAAAGCCAAACTCTGTGTGTGCATCCCCAGAAATGTAGTTCCCACAGGGTGCCAGGAATCAACCACTTGATTCAATACACAGTCCTCAGGGATGCTTGCTCAACGTTAACTCGTGGTGCTTTAGGGAGGAGAAAAGACACATAGCACTCCTCTCCCCCGTGCCCAAGCTCACGTCCCACCCACAGACACTCACTAACACGGAGATAGGTTCTTGCATGCACTTAACACCCACCCAGGCTATGCAAGCTACCCTGCGCTTACTCACAAACAGCTCTCGCATACACGGGCGTAACGTGCTAAGTCTCCAGCCCACCCTCCTCTGCCAAGTCTCTCATGGCACACGCTCCCACAGTCACACAGATGCATGCACACTCCATTAAAAGCAGCTGAAGGAAAGAGCTGAGAGCGACATTAGATGTGCCTGTCTAGGATATGGTACATGGGATGCACATACCTCTGCCGTCAGCTGTTATTCCAATGCCGCTGCTGCAGAGTGCCTGGAATTCAGCTGTGTAGAAAGCACAACAGAGCCATTAGCTTTTCTAGACAGTTCATGCACAGTGACATTAATTCTGGGTAACATTGGATTTATTGTTTGTTTGTTAGAATGTCATCTGTGGACTTCCACGCAGTGTCTGTTTATACTTATGCAATGTGTATTTTAGAGCTGATACTCGCAGTAGTAGTCCAACACTGCGAGAATCCCTGCAATGAGATCAGCATCAGATTCATGGATCCAACCTACATTTGTTGACTGCATGGCATCCCTTTCCCCCTGCCTATGGCCTTCCCATGTCACTGCCAAGCTGCCTAGGTCACCTCAGGGACCTGTCAGGGACCCAGAATGTCCCTGAGCACCTTCCTGGCTTTTTGCAAACTCAGATGGAAGAGGAGCTCACCAGAGTTTTTGGCTGGACAGGGTTGGCAGGGCTCTCCAAAGCCATGGTCTGGGTTAGCACAGCAACACTCGGACTTGGTGACCGCTCCCGGAAAGGGACGAGCGCACGTGCCCTTTTTAATGCCTCCATAGCAGGTGCTGCGCATGTGGGTGTCCACGCAGACTCGTCCATCCACCCCGATAGCCAGGCCCCCGAGGCACTCGCAGCGGAAGGAGCCCTCTGTGTTAATGCACCAGCCATTCATACAGATTCCTGGCGTCTCGCACTCGTCGATGTCTGAAAGAGGAAGCACAAACTGGCTGTTACCTACCCACAGGCAGCAGGACACATAGACAGGGGCTTTGGACTACTTTGCAGGCAGACTTGGAGACTAAGAGGGAACTAGAGGTGCCGTTTAAAGCATCACATCCCCTGCATGCTCTGCTGGCTGTCCCTGATGGTTCAAGGGAAGTAACAGGGATTTGGGCTTCTTCAGTCTCCTGAGACCCAGCCCCTTCTCAGAGTAGCAGGGTCTGGTCTCTGCTCTGTTAACAGGCCAGCGACCCCAAGAATTCACCCTGTGTCACAGCAGCATATCAAAGAAATGCTATGTTCTCCTCCCCCTCTCTCCACTCTGCCTTCACATCCTAACCTTCCTGGCTTCGGGAGGTAGCACACAAACCGTAGTGGAACATGCTGTAGAGGCTGGGGAAGCTGTGGAGACGACTGCTGCCAGCTCACATTGGCCACACAGAGCTTCACAGCCCTGCTTAACCTCCTTCAGAAAGAGGATTTAAGCTCCAATTTGCACTGAAGTAGTGGAGGTGCAAGAACATTTTCCCTTGTGCCCATTCTGCTGAGAGGGGGTAGTTTCTGGTGGCAGAGCAGGAGATGCCTGGCAACAGCCTTGTTTTTTCTCAGCTCCCCTTGGCCCCAGTCACATCGAGAGTCCCCAGGAACGTGGATGGCAGGCTGGGAAGAGGGCAGAGACCAAGCTTGGGTCCTACGCACCGACACAGTACCGCCCGTTGGGAGCCAGCACAAAACCAGGCTTGCAGATACATTTGAAGCTGCCGTCCTCATTGATACACATCCCGTTGAGGCACATGTTAGTCGTGGCACATTCATCATGATCTGGGGAGGACAAACAGAAAACACGAGCTGAGCCTGCGAGCTGCAGCAAGACTCTCCTGTGCTCAAAAACTCTCTGTCCCCCATCTCATGGTCAAATTGCTTCTTATGGCAGTGGGTGCTAATCCTCAAGGCAGAGTTCCCACCGCTGCTCCTGGTCAGAGCTGTCCTGCTGCGTCCCTGCAACTCTCGGTACCCCAGTCAGCCGGTGCAGCTTGCAGCAGGACTTGCACACTGGCTGCTGGAGGCAACAACTCTCAGGGTGATGGAGAAATGTCCTGCAAAACCTACAGGAGCCCTCCAGGAGCACTAGCACCCTTATAAAAATGCCCTCCTATTGCAGTGCAACCGTATCCTCTCCTCTCCTCTTAAGATGCACTCTGCCCTAGCAGCATCTACCCGAGAGAAAGGGAGTACAGCACAGATTAAAGTAACCACCAGTCCCCCAGGAGGACATAGTCTCAGCTCAGTCCCAACCCCCCCAAGGCCATAGATGACAGCACATCAGGAAATAGCTTACCGACACAGTTCTTGCCATCAGGGGTGATTTCAAAGCCAGCATTGCAGATACACTGGAAGCTGCCATCAGTGTTAACACAGCGGCCGTTCCTACACATTACTCCATTCATGATGCACTCATCAATATCTGGCAGGGAAATAAACATAAGAAAGTAGCAGCAGGTGGAGCAATAAGCAGTTCCAACTTAATCTGCCCTGTGAGAAAAGCAGGCAAGTGCTCTCAGACACTCAGAGTGTGCCCTGCTCCAGGATCACACTGTTTCCCTCTGTACGAACTGCAGGAGATGGAAGAGATGTGGAGAAAGCTTTCTGCATGCTCTGGAAGCATCGCTACATTCGTGAGGTCACAGCTCTGGGATCTCAGGCCCTCCGTGATGTCTTTGTCAACCTCCTGCCTCAGGGCCCACTTCGCAACTCGAACAATCCTAGGCCTGTTCAAGTTCATAATAGGCAACAAAAGCCCTCAGATCAACAGCCACGGACTCAGGCCTGCTACTAAGTACCACAGAGGTGTGGTCCCAGTGCCTCAGCAAAACGAATCCCAGGACAGCAGTTGGGGTACCATGCGGCTGACTGCAGTACGGCAGCAAGGGAGGTGCTGTGTTGCGTATCAAGAACATGATGTCCACTTGCTCTGGGAGACAGGCCACTGAATGCCTCTGGGTAAAGACGAGAGGCGAAAGGAAGAAGACTAGCTCAGGTAGGGGGTTGTTACTGACCCTTTATCCAGAGCTGGGGAAGACAAGATGAGCTATTTTATGAGCAAATTACAGAAAACCAATAGTCTGGCCCCAGCGGCAATGGACGATCCAGACACTTTGTAGACTTCTCCTAATGTGGCGAAGTTAGCTTGAGAGCAGCCTGGCAGAAAAGGGTCTGAATCACAGCTGAAATGGGGCGGCCCTGCACAGAAAGAAATCTCCTTTTGGGCTATTTCAACAGAAGAGCTGTGTGTAAGCCACACGGGACAGTTTCTTGTCCTGACAGCTAGAGAGGTCACGGCTGAAGAATGACATCCAATTTTGGCACCACACATTAGAAAAGATAAAGACAAAATGGAGGAAGTTGTGAAGATAAAAAACAAGGACAATGAGAAGCTTAGAAACATTATCAATGAGAGGAGATTGAGACACTTGCATTTGTTTAGTCTAGAAGGGAGATGACAGGGGGGTTACAAGTTGCAGTTTCCCAACATGTAAAAAAATGTTGTAAAGGAGACAGTGATGAACTAATTTTCATGGCCAGAAGGAGAATCACAAGAAGAATTCAGCTTAAAAGATTTAGTTTGGAAATTAGGAAAAGCCTTCCACATTGTCAGGTAACTGGGGGGTCCTTTGGAAACCCCTTCATCAGAAGCCACTCGACAGCAAAATAAAAAAACCCAAAGGTCAGGCACTGACAGGGAAATTTGCCTTTCCTTCTTGTTCACATGGGACATCACCTTCCCATAATTCTTTTTCAGCAATCCCTCACCCAGAGCACCATCTTGCTGCAAGACACTGACGGAACAACTTTTCTAGAAATCACAAGCCCCACATTGATACAAAAATTCCTCAAAATCCTATCTTTTGTCAAAATAAAATGTTGTCGTCTTTAAATAGAGTTCTGCTCTTGAAAAGGACTCTGTAAGTTCCTTGACTGCTGCTAACCAATTTTAAGGTAGATAAGGGTAGAGGAAACCTCTTCTGCTAGACAGATTTCAGGAGACTGCTGGCAACTCAACTAAGTTGTTCTGAAATCCCATCACACACCTGGCTAGGAGGTTGTTTGGTGCTGGGGACTCCTCTCTCTGTTTCCACTTTACAACCATTTTCCTTTGGTACCTAAGTCTCGGATAACCCTGTTGACACTCTTGCAGCACACTGTGTCCTCCCGAAAGGAGAGACAGAAAATACTTACCGATGCAGGCCTGCTTTGTGGGGGTGCTCTGGAAACCTTCGTGGCACTTGCAGTGGTAGGAGCCAGGTGTGTTCACGCAGTCACCATGCACGCAGGGGCTGCTGGAGCACTCATCCACATCTGCAAGAAGAAAAGCCTAAGCCTGCGAGTCACCATTATGCAGGGAATGCACAGCAAGATACCAGGACAGGCAACAAAGGCTGCCTCCTGTGAGCCGCTGAGCCCGTGCTTTCAACTCCAGTGCTCAGCATCCTGACAGCGTGGCCAGCAAGGTCCCTCTGGATGGCATCTCTTCCCTCAAGTGAATCAACTGCACCGCTCAGCTTGGTGTCATCTGCAAACTTGCTGAGGGTGCACCCAATCCCACTCTCTATGTCACTGAGGAAGATATTCAAGAGTATCGGTCCCAATAGGGACCCTTGAGGGACACCACCCATTAGTAGTTTCCACTTGGACATTGAGCCATTGACTGTAACTCTTTGGACACAGTCATCCAGCCAATTCCTTATCCATCCAACAGTCCATCCACCAAACCCATATCACTCTAATTTAGAGGTAAGAATGTTGCGGGGAACTGTATCAAAGGCATTACAGAAGTCCACGTAGATGACATCCATAGCTCTTCCCTTCTTCACTGATGCAGTGATTATCATCAAAGGCCACTAGATTAGTCAGGCACAATTTGCCCCTTGGTGAAGCCGTGTTGGCTGTCTCTAATCACCTCCATCTTCCATGTGTTTCAACATACCTTCCCTTGTGAACAGTTTATAGCCATCAATTGGAGCACTCCAGTCATGTGATTAGTCCCACCACATTTCAGTGTAGCTTTCTAGCTGCACAGTGGCTTCCAACTCCTGTTTGTTACCCATGCTGCATGCATCGGTACAGAGGCACTTCAGCTGGGCTATCAACCCTCTCACCTTTGTAGAGGAACACACCCTAATTCCTTTCAGGCATTTCACAGGTGTTTCCCTGTTGGTTCCTAATACATCAGCAGCTCCTGGCTCTTCTCTGTTGCTTAAAACTCCATCCCCCTTCCCCCACTAAATCTAGTTTAATGCTCTCCTTGTAAGTCTGTCCACCTTGTTGGCAAAGACCTTCTTGTTCCACTTGATCAGGTGAACCCCGTCAGCTCCCAACAGACCTGGCTTCTCAAAGGTAGATCACAGAAGCCAAAACCTTGAGTATGGCACCAGGCACGCAGTGAGGCATTCACCTGTTCAATTCCTCTCCTCCTTCCTGAACCCCTTCCTCTGACTGGGAGGATAGAGGAGAACACCACCTGTGCCCCAGATTCTTTCAACATTGCTCTCTGAGTGACATATAGTCTCTTTTGGTGGTTCTAAGTTGCCTTGTCACAGTATCATTAGACCCTACATGGAATACTAGGAGTGGATGATAGTCTGGAGGGTTCACCAGTCTCGGCAGCCTCTCAGTGATGTCGCAAATGCGAGCTCCTGCTAGGCAGCAAACTTCTCTAGAGAAATTGCCTGCATGGCAACTGGGTGCTTGGGTGCCTCTCAGTAAGGAATCTCCAATTGCTAATACTTCACATGCTTTTCTGGTGGCACTGCTTCTAATGCATGTGGGGGGCTAAATCAAGGTTGCGTAGTTGTCTTTTCTTGGATCTTGTCCGTTAGCGCGTCGTACCTCTTACGTAGGGGCACTTCAGAGGAAGGTTCTTCCTTCTGCCCTGAGCAGAGACAAGGGTCCAGTCTCCTTCATCTGATGAGTTACTTGGTCAGTCAGCTCAAGGTTGAATTCAGGCTTACCTCCCCCTTGCGCAGCCTTAAGGTAGGGCTGTCACTCAGCCTGGGACAGCACAAAATACCGCGTATCAATCTCTCACATTCCCGGATACTGTTGAGTTCCTCTTATATACTTGTTTGAAGAGTTCTTCTAACTGGGCATACTTCCAGCTAAGATCCACCATTGCCTTCAGGTGCTAGAGGACTTCCAGGTGCTGGATCTCCACGCAACCTAAGGTCTGGACAGTTATTTCAGCCCTTGGAAGGTCTGCTTGGGTGGAGACGTCAGCAGAGAAAGGCTGTTCTTTGCAGACGCAGTGGGGGAACACCATTTCTTTCAGCAGCAGGACACAGTCTCCTTATAGTTCTCAGAAAAAATAGCCCACTTACTTACTTCTAAAATGGTAATTCTTTTGAAAGACGCCATCCTTCTAATTCTACTTCCTTGGAGACCTCAAGCTTCTGAGTAGGCTTGCACAGCCACCAGCTAGCCGGGGTGACCGTCGGCGCTGCAGCCTAAGCCTGCGGGGCAAGCAGAGCAGGCGGCAGCCTGATAACTGGCAGAGTGCCCTGCCCAGGGACCGGTTATATGGGGCTTCCCACGGTGTGAACTGGCCACCGCTAAGCCAATGGCAATGTGGTGGCTACCAGAGTTGTCACCCTGGATGTTCCTCAGGGGCAGACATATCCTTTCCATCATGCTGCTTCGTTACCTGACACAAGCCCTCTATCTCCAGCCTCTTGTGGGGAGCTCTGACTGGGATGGGGGCTGTCAGGGCAGCAGCTCGAGGTGCTGTCAGGAGCCGGCATGGGGCACAGTTGGAGCTGACCCGTGTGTGTGTCAAGCAGAGCCTACTTACCAATGCACTCTCCGCGCACGTCCTGCTTGTACCCCATGTTGCACTCACAGCGGTAGCTGGATGGGGTGGGGATGCAGCGTCCGTTCAGGCAGAGGTTAGTGAAATGCTTGCAGATGTCAATGGTCTGATTCAAAGTGGCGGTTCCTGGGAAGCACAGAGACAGCATCAGGTAGAGGATTACAGCTCCCTTCCTTTGATTGTCCCCAGGAAGCCGGGTCGGTAAGTCCAAACACTGATGGATCAGTGGTCCTGCTGGGCCCTGAACAACCATGGGGCTGCAGACACAAACTCAGCTGCCTCAGAAATCTCTGCAGGGTGCTGCGGTACCTGGCATGTCCCTACCCCGCTGACATGCGCAAGATGGCCCAGCCTCTCAGAAGCAAGGTGGGAATCAATATTTATTGACATCCAGTACATTTGCACGGGCTTCAGCCCTTAGCAAGGAGCTACACGGGGATGCACATGAGAGAGAGGTGTCCAAGGTGGTGGGAAAAACAGTTTTGTTTTGGGGAGGCAGAGAGTGAGGCGGTGACGTGAAAGCTTCATTCCTATTTGGTAATTAGAAAGATATTCTGCACTGGAGCCAGCTTCGGCTCCCTTGCTCTGCCAGCAGACGCTGTTTGATCTGCTTCTGGGCTCAGCATCCTGCACAGCATTAGTGTCACATCCCATCACTCCCCCTGTGTCAAAATAAACCTTGTAGCTGGCTAAGAGCACAGGCACTTTGCTCATGTGTGCATGGCTCAGAGAAGCGGGCCGGCACGCAGGCAGACACACTGCCTGTGTTCCGAGACAGGCAGCCAAATTGGGTCAGCACAGTAAGAAAGTAATTTTAATTACCAATGCTTGAACTTCCTGGGCCCATTCCAGGCAGACCTGGGATCCCGCCTTGTCCATTTGCCCCATTTGGTCCGATGCCTCCAGGCCCGTTGAGTCCCGGCCCAACACCATTGGGCCCGAATCCAGGAATTCCTGGAAAGCTCCCAGGGAACCCTGGCACGACTGGGAGTCCTTCGATGCAAAGCCTGCGGTACTCATCTGAAACAAAACAGCTGCCTTAGTGCTTTTCCAAGAGTGCCTGAATCCCCCTCCTGCCTCTGCCAGAGTGTGGAGAACAGAGGGATGGAGGCGGACCGGCAGGGAGCAAAGAGGATGGGTACTGATAGGAACCGGGCAGATGGGTGAGGAGGGCTTTAACACCCTCCACACCAGAGCAGATGCTGAGACACAGCTTGCCAGGGTGTTTGGCAACAGCTTCTCGGGGTGTGTGGGACAGCTGGCACCGTGGGCTCCCTTCGTGCAGGAAAGGACAGGACACAGGAGGGTGCCAGACACTGTAAAGCTCTGCCCTGCTCGGAGCTAGTGATGAAGGAAGAGAGGCAGAGAGATAGATCTACAGTGCTGTGCCTTCTCAAGGCCTCCTGCTGCGCGGGCTCACCCTCATTTGGCCCCAAGGTTCAATTACGGTGGAAACCAAAGAGAGCTGAAGGGGTAGGAGGAAAGGGATGAATTCTTGCCTTGGCTGAACTCATCCAGCTCAACTTCAGACGAGACCCAGGCAGGGGAGCCAGCATCCCCATGTGACCTTTCTCTGGGTGTTACGTTGATGATTCTCCACGTCAAGCCTGGGGTACCACTAGGGCCATCAGAGCCATGAGTTGGCCCAGCAGCAGGTGGAGGTCCTTTGTGTTGCACTTACCAGACCCCCGGACAGGGCACATCTCTGGAGTCTGACCAATGGCCCAGCAACGCCCCGAGTCACAGCAGCACTGCATCTTGGTGTACTGGCCAGGGAGGTCCCCGGCACAGCGGCCCCCGATCAGAGCAGAGAAACACGTCCCAATCCGCTGGTCTGCAGAGAAGGAGAGGAGGAGGAGATGCATTCACAGCGTGTCATCACCATACTCTCGGTCAGGTCCTGAGTGCCTGTTCCCAATGGCATCTCCTCCAGCTTTCCAATGTTCCAATCTAACCTCCTTGTTCTGCCTCATCCTCCCAGATCATGAGGTTCTCCAGCACCTCCATCTGGAGCACATCAAAGCTGTAGGGTCAGGCCTTATTCTCCAGTACTAGATCTCACGTTCCCATTTAGGCTCCTAAATACTACAAGCAGCCTGACCGAGAGCCAGAAACAGGCAGTAGGTAGGCTGTCCCTCTCCATTGGATTCTCCACTGGGAGCTGCCTTCCTTGCCCTGCGGGAAGGACAAGCTGACCCCGCAGATTCTGGCTGAATTCACGGAGCAGAGAACAGATGAGATCCCCCACCTCCCCCCATGTTTCCTCGCCTTCCCAAAGGAATGGGATTATTACAGGTGTCTCCCTCCTCCCACTAGAGTTTCTGCACTGATGAGAGGTGTCGGGGACAGGTTCCCCCACTGACCCAACACACCAGCTGGGAGAGGGAACAGGCTGAGGGGAGGTGGTCTGCATGAGACCACTGCAAACGGTGACACTTCCACTACTGGACAGCCTGACCCATCCCCTCAGTGGGGACAGACAAACTGTTCTGGACTAAATATATTATTCAACAAAATTGCATCCTGGGGCTGAGCTCTCCATTCTTCAGGTTCCTCCTCTGATGTTAGTGTCTGTCTTGCTTATTTATACTACATTTGTGACCAGGGTTGGCCATCAGTGCCGATATAACAGTACAACAGGCCCTGAACTTGGCCACATGGAGTGGCAGTGTCTTCTCCTCTCTTGGGCTGTTGGACTCAGCATGATATTACTCTAACTTCTGGCACTAAAAACACTCCAGCACTGCCTGCTACTATTTTGAGGTTCCCAGA